CTTTTCCGGAACTCATCAATCTTGGAAAGAATTGGCATAGAGAGCACAGGCATTGCCAAAACAATCAAAGCGCTCAATTAGCCTTACCTGTTTCGTCCTCTCAGCTTGGGAACTGTGGCCATGAACAGCATACAAGGGCCGCTTCGTGAGAACACGACTCAAAATCTGAAAATAATTCCGTTTATCATTGCTCAAACGAAAAAATGGGGAGCTGACTCACGGAATGGAAATATTTCACTCCTCCACAAGATGGAAAAAACACAAGCACTTTCTTGTCTGGTTTGTTCCGAATAAATTCAATAGTACATATTAATTTCTCTGCTGCTTCGCAAACCTGCAGATGATGGAAAAATAAATGACTTTCCGACAAGACGTACAAAATTTCAGAACAAGAACCCACGGTGTAAAAGTTGTTTAGTGTCGAAGGAGAGACCAGATTGCTGGATTCTTTGATTTTTATAACTTTCTTATTTCGTAATCCAAACATCGACAGGTCTTCTAACTCCTTTGCTTGTGTTGCTGAGAAAAGTCCCGTTCGGCGCTGTTTCGGAAGTGCGAGCAGAATCTCCTTCAAGCTACACAGTAAAAAGTTAGATTATTGAAAGACGAAGAAAACGTTCAATGTTTAACGGATCCTCTCAGAGATCCTATCCAATCGAGCTTTACTCAGAAAGAGAGACGAAGAATCGTGTTTGGTACATAAATAGACGTGAGGGCTCTCAACTGATCTGTAAGCGGAGATGGACAAAGATGGATCACGTGCTACCATTTATGTGGCGTGGGATAAATCATGTTCAGAGGTTGTTTTTCGTTCACTGAAATATCTTCAGGGCTTGTTAGGAAAAGTCTTCAGGGCTTGTTAGCCGATCGGTTTTTCGCTACACAACCTGACCCCCACATTTATCGTTCAGTCAACTACTGATGGATGGTATGTTCACGCTACTGGACGTTCGAGCTCTAGTAGTGAGTCAGATCGCACTTTTTTCGAAAACTGTTTAGAGCAGTTGGCGAGCGTACTTAGCGCGATTGAGACATCCTTTCGATTTTAATGGCTTTGTACTCGACCAACACAACATAACCTGTTTTTCATATACGTTGCATAAAAGCCCAGAAATAGGTTTTCATCGAAGAAACAGAAAAAATTGCGACTGGAAACAAATATTTCCTTCCTTCTACCCGCGTTAGAGCATTTGGGCGTTAACCAACTCCCTCTGAGGGATGCGTCCCTCATTGGACTTATATATAGACCCATAGTGGCCTATACAGTGACTTGTTATGGCAAACCGATGTACAAGTCAGCCTTACACGAGACTATTTCCAATTTGCCGACCGTGGAAGCATGGTAGGTCTGGTCGGTACCTGCGACTGTCAACCCGGAATTCGAACCGGTGACTAGCGTGTGTTATGGTGCGCAACTTTCCACGACACCACTTCCGCCAATCCGTGTCTGGCAAGATAAAAAACCGGTCTCAGTCTCTAAGAATAATAAGTGCAGTTATTGAAGTCTTCAAACCCCTGACGATACTCAGCGGATTCCCTAGCCTAAGTGGACTCTACATAAAAACGAAATTGCAACGAGGACTATAGAGCCCCCTTTGGTAAGACCACAACCCCTTTTTCTTAGATAAAATCAACTCACTGCATCTCGAACTGTGGTTCGTTGAATCGATCGGCTTCATCTATGACGAGTATCTCCACGGTTTTCAGAGCTCGTTTCAGGCTACCATCTTTATCCAATGACAACAACTGGAAGAGACGACCGGGAGTTGCTACCAATATATTTCCACTGAAAAGAAAACGAATCAAAGAAAACGAACTATAACTAAATTAACTGAGTTGCCTACCCATTCTTCAGTTTCTTCATATTTTGTTCGACTTTTGTTCCACCCACTGTGACAATTATCGAATAGTCAAGTTTCGCAGCAAACGGGGCAGCAACCTAGAGCTGATCAAATCTGCCTCTGAGCAAGGGGAGACAAAAACTAGCTACTTACTGAAGCGATCTGGATTGAAAGCTCACGTGACGGCGACAGTATCACTGCTCCAAATTCATGTTTTCGAAACTGAAAAAAAAAACAAAACTTGCTCTCGAGAAAAAAGACCATTT